GTTAAATGGCAGAAGATCTGTATGGTACAAAACCATATGAATAAAAGTGACCTATAGCTACAAATAGGCAGGGCTGCAGATAACAATTTTTGGCAACTTCTCTTTTTCAAATCTTTTCTGAATGTTGGAATGGATACTCTGGAAGGTGGGAATGAGAGATGGCTCTCAGGATTATATAGGAATTTGGCAAAAACTGTTGCTGATTCTTACAATTAGAAGAGAATCCAATTTTTGATAGAACATGAGATCCATCTCTTTGACTTTTTAAAAAATAATTAATAGTCTTTGCATCTTTATATTAAAAACATGGATTCTTTATTAAAAATATGCAATACAGATTCTCGAGCCAAAGAACTAAGAAAGACTTCTATTGATGGATCTTAGGATTCCCCAGTTCACTTCCCCACACCAACATTGCAATGCTAAATGGTATTATTAGTACTGCAGAAAAATTCTACATTCTTTCAGCTGAACAGAAAATGTTCTTTTGAATTTTCATTTATAGGATAGGATAAGATTGGTAAAATTTTCTAGAGCAAGGTTGATGTCCTTAGGAATGTTTTGTTATAATAATAAGGCTATTTTTTTTAAAAAAAGAAGCTGCTATTGAAATATGGAGAAATATGGAGTGATGACCATCATGAATGATGACTATCATCATGCAGCCACCAATCTGGATTCAGCTCTAAAAGTTTGGCTGGGATCAAGTCCCACCCATTCCCCTTCCTTCTGCTGAAGGCATACATTGTGGATTTCAGGGAGAGACACTGGAGGCCAGTCTCAAACATAACCTGAAGGTAACTCAAATAAGATTGAATACTCAGTTCATAGATGTATTCAACCCAAACCTCAAGAGAGATCAATCTTGCCAAGCCAGATGAGTCAGAGGCTTAGGAATTTTTACATTTGAATATCTGAGCTAGCTTAACACTAATTATCTAATAGGACCCATCCTTAGCAATGGGATTTATAAGATTCTTTCAGCTCACGAGCTAATTCCCCTAGATGCTTACCATTATTAGCTCCAGAAGCCCTATAAACACTGACTAATTTGGCCTTAGCTATAGCAGGTATCCTAATGAATCAGGGCTTGGAGTTGGACCCAAGTCTGAAATCCTTCACTGGCATATTAGCCATTAGCAACTTCTGTAAATTACTTTTCAACCCTCTTTGTCTGGAGGGAACTATCAAAAGCTGTCATTGAACAGACCCATAGGACCAACAATGCAGTTCTGTACTTCGTAGATACTAAAGGCAGTAATTACATCCCTGCTACTATATACAGCTATGAAGCCAAAGTGATTAGTCCTATGCTTTATCAGACTTGTTCCTATAAAACCCAAGATTCCTTGAGATGGTCCAATCAGAACGTTAAAGATCTGAGGTCCAAGTGTCTTGTGTATTGTCTGCATCTGAAACTGAAGCACAAATGGTCTTGTAGTCTGCAACTTTTTCTGGAAATCCACTCATACCTCTTCACCGTTTGAAGAGTGTTCATCCCAAAGTGCATAGCTGAATCTCTATGGAGATTCTCAGTCATCCAGGTCATGGTTGTCCCAAAGGTGCTTTTTAAAGAAGCAACTGGACTTTCTTGTTTTACTATAAATCCTTTCATTCTCCACCAGTCAGAGCTGAAGACATTTCTTGGATGAGAAGCAAAATCTGTTCAAAGAAAAACAAGAAAGTCCATTTGCCTGTTGAAAAAGCACCTTTGGGACAACCATGAATTGAGAATCTCAATAGACATTTGGGACAACTTCTAATCATTTTGAAAACTTGGAACTTAATTGTGTTTTCAAACCAATACTTTGTTCCATTTAGACAATGTTTCCCAACCTTGGCAACTTTAAGATAGGTGGATTACAACTCCAAGAATTCTACTGACAGCAAGCTCAAGGCTTGTCAAGACCGAGAAAAACTGCATCAGGATTTGAGAAAGTTGTTCCCAAATTGAAATAATGTCTGTTTAACATTCCTCTATTATGCATTTGGAGGAAAATAGATTCTAACACCAACAGCAAATGTCTTCCTTTCTTGCCTATTGCAATTTGAGAATGCAGAATAACTGGGTATTTAAATCTGCAAAAACTGTGTCAAACTGATAAACAGAAAGAATCTAGAATCCCTATATTTAGTGCAGTCTTGGTTTTATGGAATTTGGCAATCAGATCTGCTGTTATACTCACTTGCCTAATCAGGCATGGAGAAAACTCACTTCCTTTTAACTGATGGATTTGCAAAAATATTTACAGCAGTAACCACATTTTATGTTATTGCTATTTCTATAGTAGATGCCACTGTTTAGGTTTTTCAAACATGAACCTTCTATACAAACTGTTTTTTCTCATACCATGCATACTTTTAATTTGTTTCTAATCCTTAGGAATGTGTATTGTTTGGGCAGCTGGTATATGACTGTTCTATAAATTGAAATTATTTCCTTTTTGTACATTTAGTAAGTTACCAGTTCTTACAATTCAGTGTCTATCAGCTGTTCACCTGATATAAGATGCCCCATGGATGCTTGTTTTAAGTATTTATCCATAATGCTGCAAATGTCTGAGTAGCTTTTTGGGGATTAATCTCTTATTTTTTTAAAACACTCCCCCTCCTCTCTGTGTTTGTTTGTTTCAAATACACTTCCTGCCTCTTTTGCAGCATCCGACTATTATTCAGCTGCACATTCCTGGCAAACTCTGGCTTTTCCCAAGGCATTGTATTAAAACTTAGTGGGGAACTAAAATCAAAACAAAGAAACCAATGTGTTTAAAAATCTCTGTTGACCTGGTGCAATCCAGAGATATCCACAGGATATGATAAAAAAAAAAGTCAAGATGGCAAACAAATGGTGCAATCAATGCTCTGGCTATCCCTTCCCCCCTTGTGTTTAGAGTTAAATTTTTTTTATCCTGCCTTTATTATTTTTATAAGTAACCCAAGGCAGTGAACATACATAATTCTCCTTTCTCCTATTTTCCTCACAACAACGACCCTGTGAGGTAAGTTGGGCTGAGAGAGAGAGTGACTGGCCCAAAATTACCTAGCCAACTTTCATGCTTAAGACAAGACTAGAACTCGCAGTCTCCTGGTTTCTGTCCTGGTGCCTTAATCACTAGACAGGCTGATTCTTGTTATATACGAAGGTTTAAAGCAGGGGTGTCCAACCTTGGCAACTTTAAGACTTGTGGACTTCAACTCAGCAAAAACTTGTGGACTTCAACTCAGCAAAGCTGGCTGAGGAACTCTGGGAGTTGAAGTCCACAAGTCTTAAAGTTGCCAAGGTTGGACACCCCTGCTCTAGTCTATACATTTGTGTAAACCTCATTAAGAAGTTCTGTAAATTAAGAATCCTTCTCACAATTTAGGGCCCAGCTGGACATTAGTAAGATGGTATGTCAATAATATGCTGACTAGGAATTCTGGATATTGTGATCCCGCACATATGGAGAGCATCATATGGGAAAGATATTTGAAGTCCACAAGTCTTAAAGTTGCCAAGGTTGGACACCCCTGGTTTAAAGGCTTCTTCTGTCCAGTCATGACCACCTCAAGAGATTGTGTGCTCCTCTCTGATTCTCAGCTGAGGGAGCCTACATTGTCTGAGAGATGTGTTTGCCATCATCTGGCCAGCATGAAAATACAGTATGCATTTCAGAATGCAGTAACTTTCCCACCGAAGTGGTACCAATTTATCTATTCACATTTGTATGCTTTTGAACTGCTAGGTTGGCAGGAGCTGGAGTGAGTAATGGTGCTCACCCTGTCATGGGTCTCGAACCTGGGCTGTTAGCTTTCTAGCTGACAAGCTCATAGTTTTAACCATGAGCCATCAAACCGCCCTCTTGTTGTATGGAATGCAGTATTGCAGGCTAATTCTGCCGACTGCCAGCAGTTCAATTCTCACTGGCTCAAGGTTGATTCAGCCTTTGATCCCTCTGAGGTTGGTAAAACGAGGAGCCAGATTGTTGGGGGCAATATGCTGACTCTGTAAATCGCTTAGAGAGGGCTATAAAACACAATGAAGCAGTATATAAATGCTATTGTTATTGTTATGTATGAAACACATACAAGAAAGATGGAGCTTTGAATACACCATTGTGGATCCCATCTTGATTTTATGGTCCAATTCTGCAAACGTTCCTAGAGGATCTATGTCATGCAAAGGAAAATGTTGTTCTGGAATTAAAGGTGGTGCACAACATGCTTAACAGCTTCATATTTTCATACAGTTCTTAAAGTGTGTGATTATATCTTGATGAACATCTTACTGGCTCTTGAGAAGTGAATTTCAGAACCAGCAAAGCTTTCAGGCAGCTGACATTATCATGTAATTGTACCTTATATTGTGTATATCCAACTACTGTACAAAATGTAAATACATATTAACATTTTGAAATGCAGGACGCACTACAATTTAGAGATAAGTGAGTGCTATATAATCAAATCTTGGGCCCTGTGGTGTTTTTGAGTGCTACCAACCACTGCCTTAGTCTCATCATATGTCTACTTGTAAATGCCTACTGCACTTTTAGCAAAACAAGAAGAATCCAGATTTGGGGGAGGAGGATATGAAATTATAGTTTGGATTTTTACATTGGCAAACTGCTTAGCTTGATAATTAAAATGCATTGTGCTACAAAACCATTTATATTTTCACAGTATTGTTTGGCCTATATGCACAAAGCAGGGTTGAAGTAGAAATAATTGAAGAAAGGGAAATGGGAAGGGGAAGAGCCTAGAGTAAAACAATCTGCTTGAAGAAAAGCTCTTTTTTCTGTTTAAAAATAGGACAGGGTCCCACTGTGAAGCAGGAAGAAACTAGAATGCTTGGGCATAGACTCATTTTTGTGCAAAAGTGTGATTTTTAGGCAGCTGTGCTTTCAAACTGAAGTTGGAAGATAGCTGCAGCTGAAATTCACACCCAGTACCACCCCTTCCTGTATCCTGTGGACAGAAAAGGAAAAATATACGTACATGGACTCCATTAATTGGGAGGATGTCAGCTTGAGGAGAGCTGTTTATAGTGGGTGAAACTTTGTGTGCATGTGATGGGTGTGGGACTAAACAACCTAAAACTTCTGGGTGTACAATGGAACAGCACTGAGCAAGGTCCCATCCAGTGACTCTCTTTGGGTAACAGCTGCACAACAAGTAGGCAACTATGTCAAGACGAAAGTACATTGAGCCCTCAAGGCTCTGGATTTGGGCATCGTTTCTATTAGTGGAAGGTGAGTGGACAGATCTCATGGGTAGAATCTCAGGGATCTACAGAAAGAATCCTCTCTATCCTTGCTTCTGAGTCAACGTGTTTAAGGTTTTGCTATAAGCTGAGCAGAAAATTGACTGGGTCCCATCATCTGGAATTTGGGGAGTTTGGATAGATGAGTAACTCTCAACAGCTCTTAAATTTACATATTCCTAAGCATTCTAATAAGTTCACCATGGGGTTTGTTTTCCTTTGATGCAATTGATATTATGGCGCAGTGTTTACAGGTGCTTTAGGTTTCAAAGGGTTTCTATGCTGTTATAGATATGAAGTACAATAATTTTAGTTCCAAATAAATTGTTCTATGCTATGTTGGGTGCTTTGCATTTAAATTTTCTGTATTTGGGGCATTATATATTTGTGACATTCTGGGCTCTTGCAATCCATAATCCAGAGCTTAGCAGGAAGCAGAGATGGCAGCTCCTTGCCATCTGCTGTTTCTTTTCTACTGTGAAAAACAAGTTTTTAATACCTTGAGCAACAGAAAAATCCAATACTTTAATAAGGCAGGTTAGCTTAGATTTCAGCAATTCTAAAACCAGCAAAAAGAATGCTTGCAGTATGGTTGAATGGAAGAGGATCAGTGGTTGCAAAATGGTGGTTTGCTTAACACATGGTTTTAGAACTATCGTTTGTATTAGCTGGGTTCACTTATTGCACAAATTCACTGATTATGGTTTATTTGGAAGGGACTCCTAGTCCAACCCCCTGCTTAGCCAGGAAACCCTACACCACTTCAGACAAATAGTTATCCAATCTCTTCTTGAAAACCTCCAGCGTTGGAGCATTCACAACTTCTGGAGGCAAATTGTCCCACTGATTAATTGTTCTAACTGTTGGAAATCCATCTTAGTTCTAGGTTGGATCTCTTCTTGCTTCTTCTCCTGCCCTCAGGTGCTTTGGAGAGTAGCCTGACTGCCTCTTCTTTGGGGCAGCCCCTCAGATATTGGAACACTGCTATCATGTCACCCCTAGTGCTTATTTTCATTAAACTAGACATATCCAATTTGTGCAACTGTTCTTCATAAGTTTTAGCCTCCAGTTCAGTCCAGTTTGGTGTATTGATACAATACACCAAACCAAAATTATATTATCTTAGCTGTAGTTTATTTCACATTACCTGCTTTACCATTTGATAGATAAAAGTTGCATAACTGTACTAGTGGGAAAACTACGATTTGCTTTGTCTATTTCTCTGGATTTTTTAAAATTAAAAGACAGCATGTTCTGTACACATTATTTTCATATTCTTTAACTAAAACTGCCTACTAGGTTAGGTGGGATGAGGATCCTGATTCATTGCTTGTTCCGTTGGATTTGTTCATGGATTAGAGATAGGGCCCCACCTAGTTTTTTTTTTAATCTCAGGCATCAAACTTTATGGAATTGACCAGCACGTTTACCTCTCCATTCTTTCCCCAGTTTGATTTATTTTGGATTTATGAAAATAACAACTCATTTACTCTTCTCCTGCTTGTAATGGTATATGGGCATGATCTTGGGGGACAGGAGGAAGAGCTGCAGACTAGACAAGAGGCAGGTGAGTCCTCAGAAAGAATGTGGTTGTGGCAAACAACTCAGAAGGAACCCTCCCTACTTTCTTGCACTATAAAAGTAAGGGGGGAGTGATATTCCTCCAGACTTGCAAGATTCGGTTAATGTAAAATTACAGTAAAGTTAGAGCTGCATGTGCTTCTCGTCTGGATTACCTCACAAGGCTGATTACTAAGCTTTGGAGTCTGATAATGGAGTCTTTCTATATTCTTTAGACCAAGGTGATTCTATAACACAAGAATTCAGAATTTGTCCCGGGTGCATTTTCCCCATGCTTCTGTTCAAGGCCCAAATACTGTAAAAAGTCATTTATCTTTACAAGAAGTAGTTAGAAGTATTTAGATTACTACTTTTTGGGGTGCTTGTGTCTGTCAGTATGTATATGCTGTGGCTTAGGACCTGAGCAAAATTTACAGACCTACGTGCACACATACACAGCAAGACACACATGGGTTTGTCCTATACTTTTGGCAAACTGAACTGCTATTTCCTTCTCACTATACTATTGCCAAGAAAGAAAAGCAAATAAAAGATGGCATTTTTTTTTTTAAAAAAGAGGCCATTTGAAGCACTGTGATAGACTTAAGGACAATTTTTATGAAGTCATGATTGGGAAAATTAGCTGCACCTGGACTAGAGGAACAGTGAGAGCCTATTGTATTTGAAAGACCCATGAGATTTTCATGGTGGCTGGTGGTCCATGACTCTCAGTCTCCTCCAAGGTGACAATGTCAGGAAGCTCTGCAGAGGAAGTTCCAGAAGAGTGACCGTGGGAGATGATAATAAAGAGTTAGGTTCCCAGAGAATTCATATTCATAGAATATCATTGTACATAGAAAGTGGTGGAAGATGGAGAGAGGTTTTACCAGCTCTCATTAAATCCTGATGCTTGAAGGCTCAAGATGTGTATTTCTTTCTTTCTTTTAATGGTTGTTGTTTCATAATATTCTTTGGAACACTAAAAACATAATTGTTATCGTGGGACTTTATCTTTAGCTTTCTTAAAAGTACACTCCACTTTTCTTCATTTTATTCAAGGGTGCATCCATGATCTTCTAATGTTTAATGTCAAGCTTAAGAAATCAGGAGCCAGAGAGGTTCAGATGAATACAGGTTTATTGTATTCTGAAGCTCTCTACAAGAATCTGAACTACAACTGGTAATGGTCAAAGCAAATTGGTGATAGATAAGAATCAACAATGGGCTGGACTTAGATCTCTTGTGGACACAAAGGTACTCGAGACTGGTGATATGCTTGACCCCTCCCTCAGGTTCAGCCTCTTTATCTCATAACAACCCTGGCAAGTTATATATACTTCATAACAACCCTGGCAAGTTAGATAGGCAGCAGTCTGTCATAAATTATGGAGACACATGGGTCCATAAATTCTTTAGAGAGGTTCTATCTCTTGTCCTCTACCCCCCCCCCCCGCTCCCAGTATCAAATCTCTAGTTAAAAGCTCTTACCTCTCAGCAGCAACTACTCAGAGGTAACACTTTTGCTCTTCGTGCCTTAATATGTTCCTTGTTCACCACCATAATCTTATCACCATAATAAAGGAGGAAGAACTGAAGATTAGCAAGGAACAAAAATGCACCTCACCTCTTCCCATTTAGACTAACAGAGGAACAGAGACTGCCATCACAATGGAACTCTAGCAATTGAAAGTCATAACACAAGAGGAGATGAGGCAACAGCATCAACAGCAAAAAGTAGAGCAAGGTGAAGAGAAGAGATTGGCTGGGGAAAAAATGATCATTATATGTTTCTGCTTCCCTTTTCCTTTCTCCTTCTAGGTTCAAGGTCTCGTTCCGTGGAATTTGCCCCACAGATTCTTGATCACCCTTCCAACCTTGTGGTACGAAAGGACCAACCAGCCACCCTGAACTGTCGTGCTGATGGAAATCCAGCTCCCACCATTGAATGGTATCGCAATGGAAAGTATGTGAAACCCAGCAAAGAGGATGCTACGTCCCAGCCTACCCTCCTGCCAGATGGGTCCCTCTTCTTCCTCCGACTCAGCCAGGAGAAGGGAAAATCAGATGAGGGTGTATACCATTGTCTGGCCAGAAATCGTCTGGGTAAAGCCATGAGTAAAAATGCATCACTCTATTTGGAAGGTGAGGCATTGAAAAATCCTGGAGCATTTGCAACAGTCGTAACATTCAGGAAGAAGCCTTGTTCATCCCAGCACTTCATGCCGAGTTTGTTTCTTTGAGGTTATTCAATATGGAAAAATACTACTGTCCTTCCCGTATTGTTTTAGCCAGGGCAAAGAGACATCTATGTGTCAACTGTAGTGGTTGGCCATTTATTTCAGGTTCCTCTCCCTGTAATGGAATGCATGGGTGACCTTGAAGAAAGGGAAGAAGAAACCATCAGACAAGAGTGGCAGGAATCCCCTGTGCCTTAATGGTCGAAGAAAGAAACTTAGGAAGGACCCACTCTAGTTAAGTAAATGGTTACCTTCCCTTCACTGTACTTCGCAAGAGGTTAAGAGGCAAAGGCGGCAAGTTGGGTGATAAAATGCAGAACATCCTACAATTCATTAAGCTCCTTCATTAAGCCCCTCCTTCAGTTAGCCTGTTAATGATATGTGAGAAAGACCTTGGGGGTCTTGGCAAAGGAAATGTTCAAATAAGAGACAGCATAGGAAAGGGGACATGGCAAGGACCTGTCTCAATAAAGCAAACAGTTAAAAGTGGAGGGAGGGAAGTCTGTACTTTCAAACTTGCAATATTCTCTTAATGCAATAAAGTAGATTTAGCTCATCTACTCATGTTTCCTGTCCGGTTTATCTGGGAAGGCCAATATCAAACTTGCAAGTCTGAAAGTACAAACTTCCCAACCTCCACTTTTAACTGCTTGCTCCATTAGGATGGATCCTTCCTAAGTTTCTTTCTCTGACCATTTAGCCCTGGGGGCTCCTATCTCACCTGCCTGATGCTTTCCTAGGCAGCATCTCTTCTTTCTTTTCCTCCAGGTCACCCATGCATTCCATTACACTGACCAATTTGTTTCTTCCTGGGCCACAGTGATATATAAGAAGCATAAAGCATTTCCTTAATTCAAGTATGCATGCTGGGGCAAGAACATACAATAGAGGCAATCAAGCAGCGTCTCAAGGATACCAGCAATCAAGCAGACTTATGTCCTTCCCCCCCAATGTAGCCCTCACATTTCCTATCATGCTGCTGGATACTTAAATCAAATCACTGTTCCTAAACTAAGCCAGGCCATGAGCCTAGCACAGTTTGACATGCTTCCATCAGGGATGGAAAGGGATGGAAAGGGATTCCATTTGAATCCCGAGTCTGCCTATATGGTGAAGGAGCCATCCAAACCATCACACATGCCTTATTGTGCTGTCCATTTGATGCCAATGCTTGCTGTGAGTTGCTAATTCCACACTTAATTGAATATCTTGGTGAGACTGATCTGTTCTGTTTAAACCTCTTACTGTCAGATTCAAATGACTCTGATCTCTTTAAGTGTGGCTAAACTCTGCAACATAATATGTAAGATGAGGAGCAATCTGGCTGACAAACCTGTTCATCTAGCTACCTAATCAATATTAGTTAGGATAATGGATTTGGATGGTGAGATGAGCAGCAAATATATTCAATAAACAAACAAACAAGTAGATTTTATGCATCTAAGTGTTTTAGGGACTGGAAATTCTGTTATGTTCTATTCAAGTTGTCACCTTCAATCTCACTGCACCCCAAGGCAGAGAATCCTGTCCTAAGAGATGAATCCAGCATCAGATTTTCGCCCTCTCTGTTCCCAGGTTTACATGGCTATTTTTTCCCTAACCTTCAGGGTTTTTGAGATCCGAAGATACTAAAAGAGTTTAGAATCAGGCAGAAGGTGCATGGAACCTAAAGTCCCCTTTCATGCCTCTACTAGCTCTCCAATCTGGAAAGAAAGTTAGTCAAGACATTAAAAAGCAACACTCCCAAATTATACAGCCAGCATCTTTCTGTTCTCAATTAAGCTCTGCCAATCTGCAGCCAGGAGGGTTTTGTGCTTATGGAACATGTTAACTCCGTAGCCCTAAGACAAGCCATTAAAGCTATTTCACTTCCTAAAGAACTTGGGAGCTGGCTAATTAAAATATGGTTACTTTGTTCATTTTGGCATCTCATTAGCATTTTCCTTCTGGGTTATTGTCAATCCACAGGAAGATGCTTTTTGTGTCCAGGCCCTGTGCATGGAACTCCCTGCTCCAAGAGAGGACTTCCCATCCTGCTTAAAATGAAAGGAACTTTGAATTTGGTTCTTTAGTGGAATCTATTCCCTCTCTCCGCATGTTTATTTGGGGAGGTTGCTTTTTAAATTTTTTAAAAATGTAGCTACAAAATTCAGCTATTTTGTTTATGTGTCATTTTTTTAAAAATCTGCTTTATGTTTTATAAGCCACCTTATGGGTTGTTTTCTCCCCTCCTTTGCAATGAAGAAAACGAGGTACGTAGCGATTTCTGTAGAAATAAATAAATAAATAACGCAGAGGCTTCAGGGAGAGAGTAAGCAATGTATTAAGAATAATAAATCAGTTGACAGAAAATAACAGTTAAAAGAATAATTGGAACACAAGGTATGGGGTATATTCTCTCTCCCCCCCCTTCTCTCTGTGTGTGCTTGTGTGTGTATGTGTGTGGGTTTCATGTTTGTGAGTCTCTGTGTGCTAAGCTACTTTTTTTGCTTCCTTGTAACCCACACAACCATATATGTGATATGGGCTGGATGCCATACAGCCCATGTCTACTACGCTCACTCCACATTTTCTCCACCTTGGAATCTAAAATGTCTCCCCTGTAGAGTTGTGCAGCTCAAATTATTTATGCAATTAGAATTCTTCTTTAATAAGCAGGCCTGGAGTCTCTCCAATTAACACTTCATTACTGATCAGGTTTCCTTCAGCTCCCGTGGTCCGTCAGGAAGGCTCATGGTGGTGTTTGTCAGCTATAAATATTCATACAAGTAAAGATGGCTTGGGAGATGCTTCTGCTAGCCAGGCTCAATCAAGTGTGCCAGAAGAGGCTGCCTTTTTGCAGAGAACTGCCCTCTCTGGCTAGCTGAAAGGCCAAGCCAGGAAAGGATGCCAAACAGGTGCTCCAGGAGTCAGTAAAGGCAACAGTTTCCTTTTTTCTCGATGCATCCCTTCCAAACAAAATCAGCAGGGAAGTAGATGTTGTTTTGACATTTTGCTAGAAGTGTGAATCTCCCTCTGAGCAAATTGGCTACAAACGTGTGAAAACTGGGATGGGAGGATCCTAGCCAGAACATTTCAGAGAGCAGATATGAGAAGACTGTTTTGTGTATCCAGACTTCTTTTTTCAAAAAGGTGTCACTTTTTAGCGTCTCAAACATTTTATTTGGTTAAATCATGCTGGCTGGGGAATTCTGGGAGTTGAAGTCCACGAGTTTTAAAGTTGGACAAAATGTAGGAGTACTAACTTTTCTGTGGAATGGTTACTCAGATGCAGAGCTTTTCCTTTGTCCCTAGAAGTTTAAACTCTGCCCTAAGTACTCAACTTTAACAATCTTAAGATGCGTGGACTTCAACACCCAGAATTCCCCAGCTGGCAAGCTCCAAGTCAGCTGAGGAATTCTGGGAGTTGAAGCTCACACATCTTAAAGTGGCCAAGACTGAGAAATAATGTGTTACAGCAGGGGTGTCAAACTCAAGGCTAGTTCCAGCCCACAGGGTGCTTAGATCTGGCCCGCAGGCCCGCCCTGGAAAAGTGAAGGACCAGCCCACGGTCCCTCTGCCAGCAAAAATGGAGCTTGTGAGGGCCGCACATTGCCCTCCCTGGCTCCATTTTCAGCCACAATAGCCTTCTGCAACCCTCTGCCAGTGAAAATGGAGCTTGGGGAGGCCCTGTGGCCCTGCCCAGGCTCTGTTTTTGGCTGTGACGGCCTCCTGCAGCCCTCTGTCAGCACACGGCCTCCCTGGATTCCGTTTTCATTGGCAGAGGGCTCCAGGAAGCCATCATGGCTGACAATGGAGCCTGGATGAATGACGTCGAGCTGGCCACACCCTCCCCCTGGCCATGCCCTCCCCCTGGCCTCCAAGGTCAAACACAACCCCGATGTGGTCCTCAGTGAAATCAAGTTTGACACCCCTGTGTTACAGTAATCAGTAACTTAGCATTGCAAAGACTTCTGCTTGACAAATTGAAGAGCTGTTCCTAAGATCCTTCAGCTTTCCAGAATGTTATCTAGAACAGGGGTCCCCAACCCCCAGACTGCAGCTCGGTACTGGACTGTGGCCCATTCAGAACTGCCCCTTGCATGGGACCATTTCCTCTCTCCCCCCTCTAAATGCCGGTCCGCAAAGCTGGAAAGATTGGGAACCACTCCTCTATAAAGTCATTTTTTTCTCTCCTTTCCCAAGTGCTCTTCCAAACAAAGCATAGATTGAAGCCGTCAGCTACTTTCTAAAAAAATATCTATGAGATTTATGTGAGGGCCGAAGGCATTCTTGAATATAAAGATCGTGCTGGACGTTCCTGTTTTAATTTTCGGTATACTTGCTTCCATTTAACTTTTTAATTGACATGATTTTAGAAGCTTCCTGCTGGAGTGATCTAAAAATATCTAGGAAGAATAATATCCTTAGGTAGGAACCCTGCATGTAAGCATTTGACTCATCTCCTGGGGTTTTGATTGTATCACAAAAGATTCACATCCTCCACAGGGAACAAATGCAGGAAACAGGCAACATTAAAAAAAGGCTGAATGGCAAAGGATAAAGAATTCCCTGTTTTTGTTCTCTGCAGGGTTTTGCTTTCAGATTGCCTTCCAAGTTCAGGCTGTCAAAGCAATTATTATCTTTAAGGGAGACAAACCAACTAAAGCAAGGGTCTCCAACCTTGGCAACTTTAAGCCTGGTGGACTTCAAACCCCAGAATTCCCCAGCCAGCTTTGCTATCTGGGGAATTCTGGGAATTGAAGTCCACCAGGCTTAAAGTTGCCAAGGTTGGAGACCCCTGAACTAAAGCATTTCCCTATCAAAGCTACTCCATCTCTTGTTCATTGCTACAGGATGTTGTTGGGATGACCTCCAGTGAGATGGTGTTTTTAAAGGGTCCATTGAAAGGAATTTATCTCTCCAGAAAGGTTCACCCCCAATATTAAGGACAAAGTCAATTGATGGCATCTAAAATGTCCTAAGCCATGGTTTGCTAAGCAAGCCATAACAGCCTGGTGTACACAATTTCAGGCCATGAACTATGGTTTTCCAAAATGTCTGGGTTAACATAATCCATTGGACCTTATAATAAGATATGTTACTACAAAACCCTGATTAATTGTTATATATAACTACATACCACATGTCTGTCAAATGTTTAAAAACCTCAAGAATTACTACCAAGAGACAGGCAGGAACTAGGTCTCCTTTTAATTAAACAGGATGGGACTGTGCTATGGAATCGGTTTTGGATAAACTAATCTTCGGATAGCTGATGATGATGTTATATTTTTGCCATTTTTTTCAAACTTAAAAAAATGAACCTTACTAGATAGAAAAGAATAGAATAGAATAGAATACTTTATTGGCCAAGTGTGATTGGACACACAAGGAATTTGTCTTGGTGTAAATACTCTCAGTATACATAAAGAAAAGATACATTCGTTAAGAATCAAGAATCATAACGTACCACACTTAATGGTAGTCATAGGGTACAATCAACAATCAAATCATACTAGGAAACAGTCAATATAAATCGTAAGGATACAAGCAACAAAGTTACAGTCCTACAATCACAAGTGGAAGGGGATGGGTGATGAGAAGATGGGTGATGGGTTATGAGGAGTGATGAGAAGATTAACAGTAATAGTAGTGTACACTTCGTAAATAGTTGAACAGTGTTGAGGGAATTATTTGTTTAGCAGAGCGATGGCTTTCGGGGAAAAAACTGTTCTTGTGTCTAGTTGTTCTGGTGTGCAGTGCTCTATAGTGTCATTTTGAGGGAAGGAATTGAAACAGTTTATGTTCGGGATGTGAGGGGTCTGTAAATATTTTTGACTCGTGCAGTATACAGGGCCTCCATGGAAGGCAGGTGGGTAGTAATTGTTTTTTCTGCAGTCCTAATTATCCTCTGAAGTCTGTGTCTGTCCTGTTGGGTTGCAGAACCAAACCAGACAGCTATAGAGATGCAGATGACAGACTCAATCATTCTTCTGTAGAACTGGATCAGCAGCTCCTTGGGCACTTTGAGCTTTCTGAGTTGGTGCAGAAAGAACATTCTTTGTTGTGCTTTTTTGATGATGTTTTTGATGTTAGGTGGCCATTTTAGGTCATGTAATATAGTAGAACCTAGAAATTTGAAGGTCTATACTGTTGATACTGTGTTGTCTAGTATTGTAAGAGGTGGTCGTATGGGAGGGTTTCTTCTAAAGTCTACCACCATGCTATCATTGCCAGAACCCTAATGGTGAACATATGGCACGCGTGCCAGAAGTGGCACACAGAGCCATCTCTCCAGGCACGCCAGTCATTGCCCGTTGCTCTTCTGGTTTCCGGTGTGTGCAGAAGACCAGGTGGCTGGCGCACATGTGCATGCCAGAAACCAGAAGCTCAGCTTCCTGGTGCGCACATATGCACTGGGGAGCTGCTCTTCTGGTTTCCGGTGCTCCTATACGCACACATGCTCCTCGATACCGAAAAGGTTCACCAACACTGGCCTATAAGATCATAGTCTACCAATAAGAAACCATTCTGGCATCAAATTGTCCTGGAAGGCTATTTCCTTGTTCCAGTAACTTGACCGCTGATGTCAAAATTATTATTTTTCTACAAGTTTCTGAGAATGAACAAAGAATGGAGCGAAAGGATGAAAATCCACCTATCAAAGATTATTTTTGAATTCTTTTGTTTCTTTGTAGTCCTAGAAGAGGAATTCCGACTTCATCCTAGTGACTTGAAGGTGACAATTGGGGAATCGTGGTTGTTGGAGTGTGTGCCTCCACTGGGGCGTCCAGAGCCCATCATCTCATGGAGGAAGAACGGAGTGCCCTTAAGTGCAGAAAATGGCCATTATGAGGTAGCCAACTAGTACCTACCTCTTATCGTAGTCAGCATCAAGACTTAAGTAGCTTAAAGGTGGACTGACAGAATACAGAGTTGGAAGGGACCTTGGAGATCAACTAGTCCAACTCCTTGCTCAAGTAGGAATCCCTATACCATTTCAGATAAATGGTTGCCCAATGTATTCTTAAAAACGTCCAGTTGGAGCATCTACAACTTCTAGAAGCAAATCATTCCACTGATTAATTGTTCTAACAATTAATTAATTCTGTTCTGACCTCCTGAAATGAATGGGACAAATTGGTAATGATTAATAATTACAGTAAATGTATAGAAATCAATGGAATTTAAATGGCTGCATTACCACATCAGAGGTACTATAATATAAACACAAGATAATACAATGCCATGGCTTTCGTAATGTAATAAATGATACCCTCACAGACCATAATGATGGTTTAAGCTTGCAGGGGTGTCAAACTGGCAACCATGGGCCGGATGCGTCACAGCTCCGTGAATGGGAAAACTGTCACGATGGCAATGTGATGTCACGAGTTTGACACCCATGGTTTAAAGCAATAGTCTGATTCACACAACCTGTTAAAACAAAGGCAATTTTGGGAGAGGCTGCTGAGGTAACTTTGGAGATTGTGCACCCTTAATTTATAGATTATGGATTCTTCTAATTTTGAAGATAAAGAGAAATATTGTTAAATTGTCTTTGAAAAATAAACTTTCCTTTTCCAAGACATAAAAAAATGGGGAGATTCCTTTCTTCAACTGTCCAGTAGCGAATATCCTCTGATATTCCAAATTCTCTTTTTCCCTCCTGTATTTCTGCAGTTCTCGAAAGAAAAACTTCTGGTAGCCCATGCCCAGAAGAGTGATGCAGGAGCATATAGCTGCCTGGCTGTCAATCAAGTAGGAGAGCAAGTGAGCAGAGCAGCCACGGTCACTGTCTTTGGTAAGAAAGTCCACAACGATTAGAGTTCTCTGAGGTTTTGTTTTGCACTCGAAGGGCCATTATTTAAGATAATTTGGAACAATGCACAAATTATCACTTACTAAAATTGATAGCTGTGTCAGCCTGCCAAAATGGGATTCAGGAAACATTCTGCTTCTTCCATTGTAGAGAGGCCAACATTCATTCGGAGACCCAGTGATGTTGTAGCCAGTGTTGGCAGTAGTGTTCAGTTCACTTGTGGAATCCATGGAGACCCAAAACTTGTTGTGCAGTGGTATAAAGAAGATGGAGAGCTCCCTTCAGGGAGGTAAGTATAACTTTTTAGATTCTGAAAATGAGTTCCAATTCTATTCATCTTTAGAGTTGTAGGTGAGACAATGATTCTATAATTTATTCTTCAGACTCCACCACCACAGCTGGATTTATTTCCCAGGCTTTGCCCTTGGGGCACCTAACTTTTGTCCAATAGATTCATGGGGTGAAAGATGGTCTTAGGCAGGACTGATCCTGTTTAGTTCCTTACTGCAAATTATCATCATCCTCAAGAAGTTTAGGGATTTTTCCTTTGCCATTTCATTCTCACAAGAATTCTAAAAGATAAATTGGGTGGTGAGATATATCCTCAAACAAACTTCACTGGAGAGAACAGTACAGAATATTACTGTCATTATCATTTCATGTATCCCCGCTATTTCTTTGTAAGAAGATCAGAAATGTTTCAGAAGATCAGACAAGATAGCGATTACAATAAAGAACAAACAAACCAAAATTCACAGCATAAGAGAGTCCATGGACATTTTTAACTAAATGCAAGCAGTGGGGTGTTGTTTGGCTCTCCAGATTTCTTCTAAGGAAACCTAACCCCTTGATAGAAATCTTCATCAATTTATGCAAGAATAAATAAAGAATTGAAGGGTCATTCCCCACCCCACTTCATATCTTTAGAGGCCTGGTGGCAGAGTGTTTAAAAGGCTAACTCTGCCCACGGTCTGGAGTTTGATCCAGATAGGCTCAAGGTCAACTCAGCCTTCCATCCTTTTGAGGTGAATAAAATGTGGACCCAGATTATTGGGGACAATAGGCAAATAATGCTTCTACATTGTAAACCACCTAAAGAGTGCTATTATGTTCCATGGGGTGATACAGTATATTAGCCTAAATGCTATTGCTAAATTCTATATCACGTATTAATATATCTTGGGAGATGCCCAGTGAAGTTTGATAGATGGCAGATTCATGGTGGACCAAATAATATTGCCATTCAATGCATTATCTATTTTTTTTAAGTATTCCTGTGAATTGGGGGGAGAATCACACAATGTATTATTGAGTTTTTGAAAGTATTCCTTGGAAGGAAGAAAAACCAACCCTGGCTTATTTCTTGTTATGTAAATGGGGTCACTGTGGCCAGCTGAGAATTCTGGGCCTTTCCTCATAGGTATGAAGTAGACCAAGAAAATGTCCTTCAAATCCACCATCTTACAATGTGTGATGCTGGGAAATATATCTGTGCTGCTTACAGCCATGGAGGGACCATCTTTGCCAAGGCAGCTTTAACTGTGGAAGGTGAGCAACTTTCTCTGCAAGGCTAGCAAGAAAAAAGAAGAAGAAAACCTTTGCTGACTAAATGCCAGAGTTTTCCTTCACAAGCACTTACCGAAATGCACTATTTTGTTCTTAGAATAACAACCCCCTATCCCACCACAACAAGTTTATTTTTCAGCGACAATAAAAAAAACTAGCATTGTTTTTTCCCAGATGAACCACTAAATAATGACTTAACTCCCCAATTAATTCCTCTAGAACAGGGATATACAGATTATTTAAGGGTGATCTGTTAAAAGCTGCGTAATGAGCACAGGGGAAGAAGAAGAAGACAAAGAGCTTTTCCAAGAGTCGGGGTGGGGGTTAGGTTGTTAAAAGTAGGCAATGGACCATATGAAATTAGATTAAAGGCTTCATGTTGTCCTAGGCTGACTGCTATCCACTAAATTAAGGCCAGGTCACATCCAAATACAAAGAAACCGTTGGTATCGTTGTCTGTTAGGTATCTATGGAGATTCTCAGTCCTCCAGGTTATGGTTGTCCCAAAGGTGGTTTTTCAAAAGGCAACTGGACTTTCTTTGTTTTATCTTGAAGACGTTTTGTTTCTCATCCAAACTTCTTCAGTTTTGACTGAATGGTGGAGAATGGAAGGATTTATATTCCTTGTCATCTGGTTGTTAGCAGTCTCTCAATGATTTTCAGAATTGTTTTTTTTTTCTTCAAGGAAAAAACAAAGGAAGTCCAGTTGCCTTTTGAAAAATCACCTTTGGATGTCCTTCATGTACTTTAAAGTTGAGGTTCACATATATATTTTGGGTTTCTTTTCTGGCCTTTAGATCCACTAGATACCAGGCAGAAGGAATGGAACAGGCCAAAAGATGTTACAAAGGAACTGATGGAGATCAGAGTTTGCCTAGTAAATGTGACTATTGTCCCTTCTGCTCCAGCTGCCCATCTGCATTGGAAGGTGAGTTAGAAATGTCAAAGGGTGACTTGAGAAGTGATAATAGATCAAAATCTAGATATTCTTGATGACAAGGAGTCATGATTTAAAATGGTTTTAATTAACATTCCTGTTTCTATAAATAAAATGGACTCCAACTATATTTAGGTTGGTGGGTTCATTTATAAACAACAAAGTAATGGCAGGAACCAGGCATGGTCAGAGGGTTAGAAATGAGAAGCAGAGTAATAGTTTCTAAGAAGAGTGATGTAGCCCAAAGCAGGTAAATAAAATAAACAAACAATTTTGAAGCAAGATCTAAAAATGAGGATGCAAAAGAGAGGGGGAAGGAGAGAAATTGAGAGGTGCTCTTGGATTCACAGGAATCAAGTTTCAAAAAGAATGAAATTCAGCTTGGCAGGATAGGAGTCTCCCCAAACAAATATATTATTCATCCACCTCAGAGACTGGTTAGATTCAAAACTGCAACAATAATTGTAATCCTAATTGTGCAAATCCTCATGCAATAATTCACTTTATATTCTCCATTTTACTTTCTTTTTTAAAGTGTTCTTCATCACCACTTTTTACTTCAAAGGGTTTTGAATCATTTTATTTCACTTATTGCATTTTTTTCAGCCAGGTTCTGCGTCAACAGTATTGGTCCCTAATCAAATCTGAAATTCAGAAATTTGGGCTAACATTTCAAATGTTTCATAATTGAAAATTAGGGTGAATATTCTGGGTTAGCTCCCATTTTGCTTTCATTTCTTGCTTTGCCTGTACAAGCTCCTTTCCCTTCCCTTCCCTTCCCTCCCCTTCCCTTCCCTTCCCCATCCATTTCTTTCCTTCTTCTCTCCCTCCTTCCCCCTCCCTCCCATTTACATGGTGACTCTAAGTGGCTTACAACATTAAACAAATGTTCTTTTTATCCAGAAGGAATACACTAAAGCCCATTTCCAATTACTGTATTGCTTGAAGGTCACCCCAACTTCCCAGCCCATAGAGGCTTACAAGGTGTTCTATCATTCTCTGCTGCCCACAAAAGCACACTGGGCTGAATGGGACGTCGCAAGAGACCAGCAGACCATTATTCCTGGACTTGAAAGAGGTTACAAGTATGAATTCAAGGTGCGACCATATTTGGGGAAGATCCACGGCATAGACAGCAACGTGAGACATCTGTACATCCCAGAGGAAGGTACAAAAACCTATCACTATATTTTGACCAATATTGTTTAATTTAATAGCTTACAGGGAAACCTTTTTAGTTTAAAAACTGTACTAAATTTTGGAAGGAAATCAGAGCCCATACTTCAAAGCTGTGGGATCACCTACTTTCTTTTTCTTCTCATTTTTCCTCCTGCTTTTATTTTGTTATGTTTTTCTTCAGGTGGCCTTGAGTGGGATGTAGAAGAGCAATTTTTGGGAGGTGGGTAGGAGTTTATTATTCTTATGGGCAAAAATGATCTGAAATTTCTTCACCTTTCCCTCTGGATCTATTGGAGACACATTGGGTGGTTGAAGAGACAAGGAGTGTCACAATAGACATGAAGTAATGGATGGAGGAGTCCTGGGTTCCCAAACAGCTTAAGGTGTGGGTGGTCTTGCTTCTGCTAAATATTTTCAACTAGTATTCCAAAGGTGCTTTTCCAAAAGGCAACGGGACTTTCTTGTTTCTGTTTTTCCTTGAAAATGTTTCACTTCTCATTCAAGAAGCTTCTTAGATGAGAAGCGAAATGTATTGGGGAGAACAAAGGAGACTCACGGAGAATTGATAGTCTCCATATAAATCACCCAGCTCCATTTAAGTCACCCAGCTGATTAGTCAGCCTGAATTTAAATTCCTACTCAGCTAATTGGACAACCTCTACTAACCCCCCAACCAAATCTCATCCTTTCCAAACTCCAAAGTAGATGATTGGTGAGCTCATTCAAATCTTCTCCATTCAAATCTATCAAACAGCGCTTCCTCTTTAAAACAAAAACAAAACAAAACTAAAACTAAAAAATGTGGCTTTAAGGAAAAATAAAGGAACTTTACACAACAAACCTCCAATACTTTACTACCTCCACTATTTCAGTACCTCAAGACCAAATATTTAGAGATAATGCTTGGTCTATAATAATTGAACTTCTTCAAAAATTGATCATCTTCAAAAAGGGAGACCTCAGCCTAGTTGAAAATTACAGACCAATCTCTTTATGCTGTGTCACCTGTAAAGTCATGGAATCAATTATTAACCAATCCATTATGCTCCACTTAGACAAAAAACTATCCTGCAATCTGCAACTCTTACACTGCAAAAACATATGGACTATACATCTTGATCAGGGCAAAGCAATAGACGCAATCTACATAGACTTCTGTAAAGCCTTTGATTCAGTGGTACACGACAAACTACTCCTAAAACTAAAATCTTATGGTATCTTTGGACAACTGCATAACTGGATAGAAGCATTCCTGCCAAACAGACAACAAATGATCAAAATTGGGAGCGTCCTATCAAATTCTGTACCTGTCAACAGTGGTGTCCCCCAAGGCAGTGTTCTAGGACCAACTCTCTTCATACTCTACGTAAATGACCTCTGTGAACATATCAAGAACAACTGCGTTCTCTTCCTGATGATGTAAAGCTGTTCAATACCACAGACAATACTTCTACCCTTCAAAAAGATCTTGACTATGTATCAGAATGGTCAAACAAATGCCAACTTCAAATCTCAACAAATAAATGTTCTGTCTTACATATTGGCAAAAAAAAATCAGAAAATAAAATACAGGCTGAATAGTCAAGACCTTGTTGATGATCCAAACTCTGTCAAGGATCTTGGAGTACTCATCTCTAATGATCTAAGTGCTAGAGCCCACTGTAACTGCATAGCCAAAAAGGCGTTAAGAGTTGTTAACCTAATCTTGCGTAGTTTTTTCTCTGGTAATATTACACTACTAACTAGAGCATACAAAACATTTGCTAGACCAATACTTGAATACAGCTCATCAGTCTGGAACCTACATTGCGTATCTGATATTAACACAGTTGAGAAAGTCCAGAAATATTTCACAAGAAGAGTTCTCCGCTCCTCTACTCGTTGCAGAATACCTTATGCCACCAGACTTGAAATTCTAGACCTAGAAAACCTAGAACTACACTGCCTTCGGCCCTATCTAAGTATAGTATATAAAATCATACATTGCAATGTCCTACCTGTCAATGAATACTTCAGCTTCAGCCATAACAATACAAGAGCAACCAATAGATACAAACTCAAGGTTAATCTCACCAAACTTGATTGCAGGAAATACGACTTCAGCAACAGAGTGGTCAATGTCTGAAATACTCTACCTGACTTTGTGGTTTCTTCCCCAAACCCCAAAAACTTTAACCTTAGACTTTCTACTATTGACCTCACCCCTTTCCTAAGAGACGTGTCTACCGTCCCTGTCTTATTGTTTCTTTTATTTTTCTTATATGTATCCATGTATTCATAACTATGTTTTTACTTATACCTATTATCTTGTAAGCAATTGACAAACCAAATAAAAAATAAATAAATATTCAAGGAAAAGTCCAGCTGCCTTTTGGAAAAGCACCTTCAGGACAAACATGACCTGGGTGATTGAGAATATCCATAGACTTTCCAACTAGTGCTGTCTCTTTTCCTCAGTGCCAAGTGCTGCTCCACAAATCATCAGTATCACTGTATCCAGAGGTGGGAATAGCACTGTGATCCTTCATTGGGAGCCCCCTCCACCAGATACCCACAATGGCATCATTAAGGCTTATCAGGTATGGTGTTTAGATATTAAATACTGAGGAAATGTTAGAAGTATGTGTTATGTCCCTGTTGGAATCTGATTCTGAGGGGGAGGTTGAGCAGCTGACAGGGAGTAGGAGTATGGCTCCAGTGCCTTTGGAAGAAACTGGGGAAGGGCACAGTTCGGCTGGCATTCAGAGCCACCCCCTCTTCATCCTAGGGCATGCAGGGAGGAACAGAGAAGGGAGCAACATGCGTTATGTGATTTACGGGGGAGGAAAGGGCCCTGATCCCCTTCATTAGCTGCAGCTGGGAAAACTGTTTAAAAAGGCAAACTATGCACAGCAAAGTTGCTGGAAGCAAAGCCTGCATTATCTCTGTTTGTCAAGGCTTATCTGGGTTCTGCTGTCCTCCTAACTGTGTGTGTTTCATTATCTTTTGGAAGTCTGCAGCATGGTTTGTGTTGGTTTTTTATTTATAATTTATATGTACTTTTGGTTCAGGCTAAATTTCTTCCCTTTAAAAACTGCTCTTGGGAGAGTTTTTTCTCCAGCCAATGATAACTGGACATTGGGGGCCAAGTTGGAGGTATTAAAGGGACTTTACCTACTTTTGTGACTTTGTTGCTTTTGTGCCACACCCCGGGTCATCACAGTATGGAAGCAACCTCAGAGATGGATGATGCAAAAGATGTTAAGGAGTGGACGGTTTGGAATCTTGACTGTGAATATCTTTATAGGAAGGAAAGCAAGATTAGTTGTGTTGTGTTGTTTCTTTTTTTGCTTTGTTCTGTGTAGTTATACATTATAAAGCAGACTATATGGATCTATAACAATTCACCATGGCCAGCTCGCCACAACCAACCTGCCATGGCCAACTCATTATGGGGCAACTCGCCACAGCCAACTGACTGTGGGACAAGAGTTACACTGATATCAAAGAAATGGTGAAATAGAATCATTAAAGAAAGAATGCAAAAGGAGGGACAAGAATGAAATGTCAATGACAAAAATTATTTATTTTTTATTTATTTTAAATAATTAAATTGAATAGTTAAATTATCCCACAGTGAGCTGGCTGTGGTGAGTTGTCCCATTCTGATAATAACATTCCCTTTCAAGTGTTAAATTTGCTTGTTATTTCAGTTTGGCTTCTCTCTGCTAAGCAGGAAGGATCTGGTGGTACTCCAAAAACGAGTGAACTACAACCATTTCCTCACTATTTTTCAGACTGAATGGAGCTGCTGGACACTTTGTTTCCACAACTTTTGGCCTCTCAGAGATTTCATTCTTCAGTTTTGCAGAAAATAACTTGCTTTATGTAATCCAGGAAAGTGATTTTTATCTCTTACTTTCCCCCCCCCCCCCAGGTCTGGTTCCTTGGCAATGAAACTCATCCAGGATTTAACAGGACAGTAGATGGAGACACACATAGCCTGGAAACAATAGGACTCCCAAGTGGGCATAAATACTGTGTGAAGGTAGCTGCAATCAATGGAGCAGGTGTTGGAATAGCTAGCAATCCTGTATGCGGTATTGCAGGTCAGAAATGGCTTTTTGAAAATCATTCCTTGAGACATAAATAACTGTATTTTGGAAATTGTCTCCTTGCACTTTTCTTATTTTACAGTAAGTGTCCGTATAGTGGGCACCCTTTGAGGGCATCCTTTTAGTTGCAGAGGCTATGTTTTAATATCTTATTGCAATGGCAAATGTGATGCTAATAGGAAATGTGCCAGCTAGAGGTAGTTCTTGATGTACAAACATCCATTTAGCAACTGTTCAAAGTTATAGCCATGAGGAAGTGACTTACAACCTGTCCTCACACTTACACAGCCATCGCAGTGTCCACCTGGTCACGTTGTCAAATTTCAGGCACTTGGCATTTATTTGTGATGGTTGCAGCAGCCCAGGATCTATTTCCCAGGATTTCCACTGCAACCTTCCCAGCCAGCTTCCAACAAGCAAAGTCAAAAGGGAAGCCAGATTTATCTGATAACAGAATGATTCACTTAACAACTGCAGTGATTTGCTTAACAACCATGGCAAAAAATGTTGCAAAATTGGGCATGACTCACTTAAAAACTGCCTTGTTTAGCAATAGAAATTCTGGTCCCAATTTTGGTTGTAAGTTGAGAACTATCTGCATCTTGTACTTTAGGTGAAAAATTTCTTTTTTTTTCCCGGCCTTGTGAGAAATTTTTTATATATATTTTTTTACAAAACTGATATTAAGCTCCTCTAATCCATTACACTGCCCTTAGTTCTTCAGTGTCGACAGTGTTCTGTGTCAACTGCTTTCAACTGGAGTCTTCTTGCATGTATATGGGTTCATAGTCTTCTGCATGGATGTTGAGGGTCCTGGAGGCTACACATAGGATATGTGTTCAGTGTCATATTGTTCCATCACCTGAACTTATTTCATTCCAGAGCCTATGGTGGAGAAGATGGCAAAGAGCCCAGACTTTCTGTCAGCTAACTACATGCTGGAACTAGTGCGCCAGCCTGTCTTCATTGCCAGCGTAGGTTCGGCACTCTGGATCATGTTGATGGTGCTGGCGGTTTATGTCTGCCAGCAACAAGCCAGGCAGTTTGGTGGTGGAAGACGGTATGCCCTTGGAGAAGGTAAGGGAGGCTGCCTTTGGCTGTGTTCAGACAACACCATTGGTGCTTGCAAAGGTCAGTCAAAGATTTAGCAATTCCGTAGGTGCCTTTGGAACCATAGAAGGGAAAAAGAATAGAGTAGAATAGAATTCTTTATTGGCCAAGTGTGATTGGACACACAAGGAATTTGTCTTGGTGCAAATGCTCTCAATGTACATAAAAGAAAAGGTATATTCATCAAGAATCATAAGGTACAACACTTAATAATAGTCATAGGGTACAATAAGCAATCAAATCATACTAGGAAACAGTCAATAAAATCATTAGGATACAAGCAACAAAGTTACAGTCATACAGTCATGAGTGGGAGGAGATGGGTGAAAGGAAGGATGGGAAGATTAATAGTAATAGTAATGCAGACTTAGTTAATAGTTTGACAGTGTTGAGGGAATTATGTCCTTGGGTCTAGTTGTTCTGGTGTGCAGTGCTCTATAGCGTCGTTTTGAGGGTTAGAAGTTGAAACAGTTTATGTCCGGGATGTGAGGGGTCTGTAAATATTTTCACAGCCTTCTTTTTGACTTGTACAGTATACAGGTCCTCCATGGAAGGCAGGTTGGTAGTGATTGATTTTTCTGCAGTCCTAATTACTCTCTGAAGTCTGTATCTGTCTTGTTGCAGAACCAAACCAGGCAGTTATAGAGGCACAGATGACAGACTCAATAATTCCTCTGTAGAATTGGATCAGCAGCTCCTTGGGCAGTTTGAACTTTCTGAGTTGGCACAGAAAGAACATTCTTTATTGTGCTTTTTTGATGATGTTTTTGACACTTGACACCACTTAAAAGTGGTGGAGGGTTATCTGCAGTAGGGAGTACAAACAAAGGATTAAATGTCCCACCAATGCCTGTTGTTTTCTGAAATTCCTTGAATAATTACCTCTCTCTGCAGAAGTGGTGCCACTGGAGGAAATGTATGGTTGGCCTGCAGATAAAATGTTGCTTATTCCTGAAAAAGAGGGTTTATTCAGAATAGCAGAGAGTGCTGTTGTCAGCCATGACACAAACATTGTAAATAAGAACAGGAGAACCTCAGCCTCTACACTTCCTTCTTTTCAGGACTATATCGGAATGCAAGTGATGACACGATCATCAAACATAGGTGAGAGATAGCTGGAATGTTAAGGATCCAGAATGCTTGTTTCTTTCTGAATATTTATTCTTGGAGTTAAATGTCAAAGAACATATGATGCTATTAAGAGGGAGGGCTGGAATGAGTTATGTCTGGCCCTGTTTTGGGGAAAAGACAATGTTCTAATTTTTTTGTTCTGTTTTTGTAAAGTGAAGTCAGTGTAAAATTATGACAATTCACCCAAATAATAAAAATAGAAAATCTTTGCCATAAACCAATGTAACCTGAGAGTTAAAACAGATGTCAGACACTTTTATAATTTCGCAGTCTCCTGGGCATAAATACAGAAATATTGCAGACGTTTATGGCCAAACTACTGATGAAGACACAGTATTTAATTTCATGACTCATCCTCTTGTCAGACTTCTCCCTGGCAGGCTAGATAAGAAACAGTAAAACGAATGAACAAGAATACAGAAACTTGTAAAAAGTAGTTTCAGTGGTAGTTTTACTGAAGAAAAGCTAAGAAGTCGTTATGATAGTAATTGGTGGAATTCTGTCAAAATGGTTTCTTTGCTTTTCTGTAATAAAACTATTTTTAAAAAGTTTTTGGATTGTTGTGCATTTGTTTAATTTTTTTTAATTAAATTTTTATTGATGAAACAAAAGAAAAAAGCATTTAAAAACAATGAACGTGATGCATACATACCAACATGCCTGCTTATCTTACATCATCAATTAATACATATAACAAAAAATACAAATTTACATATATACATAAACTTTAGTCATCATTAATACATTTATTCCTTTCTTTTTTTTAATCAGTGGTAAAACTTCTCCCATGTTTTGTAATAATCAGATTTAGTCTTATTTTTATTTCTTCCATTTCAGCGCACATCCAAATTTTTCTAATTATTTCCATCTCATCTGGCATATCATTACCTTTCCATCTTTGGGCAAGGGATAGCCTCACAGCAGTGGTGACATGGACTATTAAATATGTTTTCTCTTTATTATATTTTCCCACATTGATTCCCAGTAGAAAGATTTCAGGTCTAAATTCTATTTTAATTTTACACATCTCTTCTAACCAATTTCTAATTTTCAACCAATATGTTTGGACTTTTTCGCATTTGCGAAATTTCTTTATTGCATTTCCAACATTTAGGGGATAATTTTGGATACATTCTTGCCAATTTTGATGGTGGGATGTGCCAACGATAAAACATTTTGTGTAAATTTTCTTTACACGATGCCGTCAAAGTTATTTTTTTGTTTCTATCCCATAAAATTTGCCAATCATCCAAATTTATACCATATCCAAAATCTTTCATCCAGGCCAACATCGTTTCTTTTACCTTTTCCTCTTCCAATTTGCATTCCGATAATACTTTATACATTTTTAAAATAAATTTCTCGTCTATTCCTAATAGTATTTTATCTAATTCTGTTTTCCATCTACTGATTCCCCATTCTTTCATATCTTTGCTATACCTCAATTGTAATTGCAAATAAGCCCACCATTCTATCTCAAATCCCAAATCTTTCAACTCCTGGCTCGTTTTTAACTCTCCCTTCTCATCTAATATATCCTCATATGTAATGACCTCCCCTCAACATAGTAGATGTGGATACATTAACGCTTCTAATGTAGATAACCAAGTTGGTATTTCAATATAAATTTGTCATTTAGTTTTATTCCATACATTTAGTAGAGCCTGCCTAATTTTATGCCTTTGAAAATAACCATGAATTTGTTGTTTGTCTTGCCACAAAAAGGCATGCCACCCTGCCTGTAGGTTATATCCTTCTAATGTTAACATTCTTTTATTCTTGACACTTATCCAATCTTTAACCCAAGTCAGAATAGCCGCTCTGTAATATAATTCCCAATCAGGTCCTCCTTTTTCAGTAGCATCCTGCAACAATTTTAGTTTGATTCTGGGCTTTTTTTCCTGCCATATAAATTGCGATACTAGCTTATCCAAATGATCAAAAAAAAATTCTCTAATTTTGCAGGAGCATTTTGAAATAGAAACAATAATTTTGGTAGTGTGTTCATTTTTATGGACGCAATTCTCCCCATAAAAGAGAGTCTTAAATTATTTCATTTCCTAAAATCTTCCATTATTTTTTGATTAATGGAGTATAATTATCCTCTTTAAGGGTTATACATTTCGCCAAGATCACAATCCCCAGATATTTAACTTTGTTTGTCATCTGGATGTCCATTATCCTAGTTAAGGTTTCTTTTTGTACATTTGTAATATTTTTGTAAGTATTTTAGTTTTTTCCTTATTAATTTTTAGCCCTGCAACTTCTCCAAATTCCTCTAATTGCTCTATAAGTTTTGGTCCTGAATTTTGTGGATCTTCTAAAATAAAAACCAAATCATCAGCGAAGGCTTATAATTTATACTCTTCTTTTTTATTTTTAATCCCTTTATTTCCAATTCTTTCCTAATTATTTTTGTTAGTACCTCTAGTGTCAAAATAAATAATAATGGTGATAATGGACATCCCTGTCTCATTCCTTTTTGTATCTCGAATTTATTTGTTGTATGATCGTTTATCAATATTCTGGCTTCCTGTTTGTTATATATTGCTGATACTACATTTAAGAATTTTTGACCAAAATCCATATACATAATTTGTTGCAGAATGAAACTCCATTTTACATTATTGAATGCCTTTTTAGCATCCAAAAACAATAGTGCTACCCAGGGGTGGGATTCTACTGGTTCTATCCGGTTCTATAGAATCCCTTGTTAACTTTCTAAGCAGTTCGGAGAACCGGTAGTTAGAAGCAATCCCCTTTTGGTTTTTTTCCACCCTTATTACATTCTTGGCAGACAGCCTAGACTTCCTGCCTCTGGAGCTTCTGAGGCTTTCTTAAAGGGGAAGGGTTGTTTTAAGATTTTTTACACTGCTGTTGGGAGGAAATACTTCTCTGGACAATCAGCACTTTGAAGAAATAATTGAATAATGAAGCAAATCTTTTAGTGACAGGGAACCAAGATGAGTGACATTCAGCAAGGCTTCTTGGCTAGCTAGAAAGATTGACATTCAAACATGAGTTTACATACTCTTTCTTAGTTTTGGTCTAAAACTGGTTTTTGGTGAAGGTTAATTCTGTGCTTGGTAAAGTTTAATCCTGTGTTTATTAATGGGATAATTACCCTATTCAGCTTCAACAAGCAACAGCTACTGTTGTGATTTAATTATTTGTATTGTGTTTGAATTTTTTCCTGCCTCATGGTTTCTTTTTCTATCTGGGGAGGGGGTCTTTCTCACTGCTTTAATACTATCTGGCACTGTCCTATTGGGGTATACTTCCAAGAGGCAGGATGCAAGGTTGGCACTGATTTTTTATTGCTTTTCGGGGGGGCGTGTGACCTTTCCTTAAATCTGGATGATTTCCTTAGGATATCTTGTGAGGTGAGTGAGACCAGCTTTAAGTGATGCAAATGGATCTAAGGATTGCTTTTTCTGGGTGTGCTTTTTCTGGAGAGCTTAAATGACCTCTCTGCTAAAGGGTTTCACTTTATGAGCAAGAGATGGCTGCTTGATAGTTATCACTGCATTTTAACTATTTTCATTCCTCAAGGTGCTCTGGCACCCTGCCTGATTTGTAACTCTGGCTTGCAGGTATTTTTAATCTAATGATTGGTATTCAGGGCAGCTTTTTGCAAGCAAAGAAGCTTTTTGTAATTTTGTACAGGTAATCCTTGATTTACAACAGCTCATTTAGTGACCATTCAAAGTTACAATGGCACTGAAAAAAGTGACTTATGACCATTTTTCACACTTATGACCATTGCAGCATCCCCACTGTCATGAGAGGCCAGGCAAGGAGAAGCGCCCCTTGACATGAGTGATGTCGAGTTGGCCATGCCCACCTAGTCGCATAACCACCAAGCCACACCCACCAACTAAGTCATGCCCACAGAACCAGTTGTTAAAATGTGGAAAGGGAACTTTATGAAGACAGTAGTGTTACTCAAACAGGAAAAGCCATAAAACAAATAAAAGGTATTAAAGAATCCCTATAGACAAAAGCCTAAATAATTAAAAAAAACTAGACAAATAAGAAAAGGAAACCCTTACGAACACAGGACATACCAAATAAGCAAAACAAACAGACAAAAGACACAAAAAATATAAATTACAAAAGAGACAGACAGGAGATTGCCACAAGACAAATATGAAAAAAACATTATAAAGCTAAAAGAGATTAGGAAAAAAACTGATAATACAATCTAACCACCCCACGGAGTTTGCCTTCCGCACCCCGCAGAGTTTGCCCTCCGGCAGGAATAAAGACAAACTCAAACAGAATTTGACACATTAAGCACAAATACAAACATTCACACGAAATCAACTCACAAAGGGAGAAAAGGGTATAAAAAACCAGGGACTTACCATAAGAAGCTAGCTAGCCCAGGAATGCAGACTTCTCGCTGTCCACCGCCTTCCTGAAAAATAAAAAGATCCAGCTTTCAAGCAGCTGTCCGTATCCTTGCGCCGGAGCTCTCCCAGCGGGAAAATTGAATCCTCGGAAGAAAGGCATTTTGACACCTTTCTACAATTGGTGACCATGAAGGTTTTCCAGCCAACCCTGCCACTGGACCGGGCCCGCAGATCCAAACCCAGCCAGCATGGACCTTCTTTGTCCAGGGACAACATCCACAGACCCAGCCCGGAAGGTATAGGGTAGTAAAGGGAGTCCTTGGGCTTTTCCGCTCAACAGCTGCTTGAAAGCAGGTGAATATCACTTCAAATTTATAATCTTACTAGTGAGGGGAGTAGAAGCATGAGTGTACCAGGTGTGTGATTGTGGGTTTTCTCTGCGGAAACAGCAGGACCTCACCTCCTCCATGATTGCCAGCCGCACCCCAGCCAGCTGCTAGCTCAAACACGAGCCGTGACCGGCTGGATTTGGGAACGCAAGGGGTGATCATGGAGTGTGAGTCCTTCTGAAGGATGTAAGAAAAACCGAGTGGGCTGCAAAAGGAACTGGTGTTAGGAAATAAATAAAAAGCAGGAAAAAATAGACACCTTTCTACAAAAAAAGCTGAATCCCACCCCTGGTGCTACCTGTTCTCCACTCTGATCTTCGTAATACTCTATGATGTTTAAAATTGTCCTTACATTGTTCCTAAGTTGTCTGTATGGGAGGAAGCCATTTTGATTTGTATAAATAAATTTGTTTAATATTTTTTGAGACTTTCAGCTATTATGGTTACAAAGATTTTATAGTCCACATTTAATATATTGGCCTATAGTTTCCTATGTTTGTTTGATCTTTTTTTTCTTTTGGGATAATCGTAATCATTGCTTCCTTCCATGATCACAGAATTTTTGCCTTGTCCAAAACCTCATTAAATAAGGTTAAATTAGGCAATCTGTTGCCTAATAATTCTTGTTGAATTTTATATAATTCGGCAGGAAGTCTGTCTGGGCCTGCCGCCTTATTATTATTTTTGTTTATTTTTTGCCCATGTCACTTCTTCGAGATTTATTCTTTCATTCAATAAACTTTTTTCTTCTTCCAATATTCTCAGGAGATCGGCTTTCTTTAGGCAATTTATCCCTTTTTCTTCTATTAAGTATTCTTCTTTATATAGGCCCCTTAAATGTTTAATTGTTTTTATCTAGCCTGCAAGAGAGAAGTTTGACAAGAGGATGAATAAGAAAGGAAACATAAATGTTTGTCAATTTCTTTCCTGCCTACAGTAAAACTATTGTTGAATTTTTGTGTATGTTTCTTCTCCCCTGCTATTCAACCTGATGGACAGTTGTTCCTTTGGGATAGGAAGCCTGGTTTACATCTGTCTCTTATTTTGGTAGCAGGAAGATTTGATGTTAGCTTATTTTCCTTTGGTTGGGCAAGAAATAACTCTCAAAGCTATCACCCTGAACCATGTAAATTAAGTTATATATGTTTTCCCCTTGACTGCAGGGTAGACGCCGGTGATTCTCCTTGGCTTTCAGATACATGGAAATCCACATCTGGTTCCAAGAATTACAGTACCAGCAGCAGCCTTAGTAGCCAACTTCTGTGGATGGAATCCAAAGACAGCCAAGAATTCCACAAATCTAGTATACATTTTCTTCTTCTTCATTCATGGCCAAGTTGAAAGTCTTATTTCTATCTTTATTATATTGCACCTTGTGTGGTAGTTTATGGAGGCCCAGATAAAATCAAAGAATGTGGATACACATACAATAAAAGCTGCATGAAACCAGTATTAGATTTAGTGTGCAAGGCAATTACCTTTTATGTTACTTGGATAATTCTTTTATACAACACTCCATGCAAAATATGTCTGAATCTAGAACAGGGCTGGGGAGCTAAACCTTGCAAAAGCCCTGGGCTTTCTTTCAGCATGCTACCCGCTATGGGCTGGATGTTGTCCAGGGTGTAGGAAAAGTATCTTCTTTTTCTTGCATAATCCCTCAAAGTGGAGGTAGGAGATCCTTTCTCCAAAAAGGAGATGGAAGAGGTGGGACATGCACATTCTGTGACTCCTTTTGCACCAGCACCTTCCTATAAAAATGAATAAATTGATATATGGTTTTCAAGAAAATAAACAATATTTACATGAAGCAAATATATTTTAATGTTTTCTTCTTCTTCTTCTTCTTCTTCTTCTTCTTCTTCTTCTTCTTCTTCTTCTTCTTCTTCTTCTTCTTCTTCTTCT